TCTTTCTCAGGGATGTGTTCTGGGTCTGTATCCTGCTCCCTTGTTTCTACCACTTTATCTTGCTTCTTTGTGTGGACTGTGATGGTCTGTTGTCTCTGAGGCATCGTGGCATTGTTGTATTTAGATCTCTGTTAATTGTTTGTGACAAGCAGTCAAGGGTGATCCTAGCTTTTCTTGGTGGCTTTTTATCATTGGCCCATTGGTGGAGAAGGAAGTAGTGGCTCTCACTCAGTATGTGAAGTTGTAGGAGGTGTGGGTGTAGTTGTGTCTTATGGGGACTATTGTTGTCTCCCACTCAATTAGACACAAATTACAATTGAATAACCTTCAAAACACTAAAAGCACATGGACAAAAAACATACCATGTAATCACACAGGAACAGTAACCAAAAAGGGAAAAAGAAGAAGAAAAAAACAAGAAAACCTGCTGTATCTGGAGATAGGGCATTAAGAGAAAAAAAGTAAAGGAGAATAATGAAGGAAAAAATGGGAAAAATTCAAAAAGAAAAATAAGGAATGGCGTTAACCATGAGAAAAAAGGGGGGGCAGGAAATAACCATCTTGCCGGAACCTCTCACCACTTTTTCTAGTGTAAGTAGAACCAACCAACCAGCTTCCTTATACTTCTCATTTGACAAAACTGCAGAAAAGTATCAGACATGTGATCACCCAGAGCCTCACTTCTTACCCATACTTGACCTACGATGGTGCTATCTTCATTGACGGTGCTGCTTTTGGTGTTAATATTGGCACCTCATGCCATAGATTAGCAGTGCCCTTTTTACTAATGGAGGCAGATCCATCAATTCCTTTACAGCTAATCAGACTTGAGAACTGATTTAAGAAACTCATCCTTATGATTTTGTGTCTCTTGAACAACTATCAGTATCAAAAATCTTAGACTGGGTTCTCTGGAGAAGAAAAACCAGTGAAGCTTATATATATTAAAGTCTAATGGCTGTATGGAAACAGCCAAAATGTTCATCAATGGATGAATGGATAAGCAAAATATGGTATATACATACGATGGATTATCACTTAGGCATAATGAGAAATGAAGTCCTGATGCATGCCACCACAGGGATGTACCTTGAAAACATGCTGAGTGAAATAAGTCAGTCACAAAAGGACAAATACTACATGAACTCACTGATATGAAATAAGCAAACATATAGAAACAAAATATTATTAATGGTTACCAAGGATTAGAGAGAGAAGGGAGAGGGGAGTTTTTGCTTAGGAAGTAGGGAGTTTAAGTTAATGGTGGTAGAATAATTTGGAAAAGGATAGTGAGGATGGTTGCACAAGTTGAAGAATGTAATGAATGTCACTGAATTATACATGTGGAAATTATTTAATTGCTATATGTTTTGTTGTGTATGTTTTCATCACATTTAAAGAAAAAACAAAATACAGGAATAAAGGTATGAAGAGTAGAATGGACATAACTAAAGTACCGATTAAGAGTTCCAGCCAGATAGTGGAATAGGAGACAAACTACCCAGAGTGTCTACAACAAATAAATGAAAATCAGTTGCTATTGATAATAATCCTGGAATCCTGAACTTTGCAGGAAAGGATGAAGGAGTGGATCAAATACTGACTAGTAGAAGAAACTGAATGAAAACAGTGACTAAGGATACAAATGAAGCTGTGGACTGTCAACTGGTCTCATGGTGTGGCCATAAGAATATTTACAATATTTTTAATATTTACAAATGACTTTCTTTTGGGGGCAGCAACCTGATAATTGGCTCCACTTGCCCAACTGCATGGGCATGACACTGGTAGCTGGTGACCAGAAAGTTACAATATTCCCTTTGTTACCCACACCCTCCTGGTGAACAGAGGTGTGGCCATTCTCTATCCCAATTGCCATTCTGGACCAGCAGGAATTCCATCATGGACTTGGGCATTCTGCCCTAGCTGCCTTCTGAGCAGGCAGAAACTGGTTCTGGGACCAAGTGGCATATTCCCAGCTGCCTTTAAGGTCAGTAGGAACTTCTTCTGAACCAGGTACCCTATACCCAGCCACCTTTTGGGACAGCAGGAATGTCTTCTGGGACTAGGCACCCTAGGCCCAGCCACCTTTTGCGATGGCAGGAACTTCTGGGATCAGATGCCTTGCCCTCAACTGTTTTTTGGGCTGGCAAGAACTCCTTCTGGAACCAGGCACCTTGCTCCCAGCTGCCTTTTGAGCTGGCAGGAACTTTTTCTATGTCCAGGCACCCTTCCCCTAGATATCTTCTGGACTAGCAGGAACCTGTCTGGGATCGAGCATTTATTGTCATAACCTAATCCAAATCATGGTTTTTCAATAGCCTCATATACATGTGAAACCTGGACAATGAATAACGAAGACCAAAAAAGAGTTGATGCTTTTGAATTGTGGTGTTGGTGAAGAATACTAAAAGTACCATAGACTGCCAGAAGAACTAACAAATCTGTCCTGAAGAAGTGCAGCTGAATGCTCCTCAGAAATGAGAATGGCCAGATTTCATCTAACCTGCTTTGGTCGTGTTGTCAGAAGTACCATTCCCTGGGGAAGACTAACGTGCTTGTTACCAAGCAAGTGAAGGGTCAACAAAGGAGGGAAGGCCCTCGGCGAGATGGATTGACACAGTTGCTGCAACGATGGGCTCAGGTGTGGCAAGGATTATGAGCCTGGCAAGGACCAGGCAGTGTTTTGTTCTATTGTACATAGGGTTGCTATGAGTTAGAGCTGACTCAATGGCACCTAACAACAACAACAGGGTCTGTGAGGTATCTCAGAGTGGTTCTAACGTTCATTTCCTTCATGACTAATGATGTTGGGCCTTTTTTCATGTGCTTATTTGCCATTTGTAAATCTTCTTTTGTGAAACACGTGTTCAAGAATTTTGCCCCAAACACATTCTTTCTAATCATAACTTGATTCCATTTTTTTTGATAGAACAGAAATTCATGTAATTGGATTTCCTATTGATGGATGCTTAAGTTGTCTCAACTTTTTTTTTGTCAACCAGACTTAATTGAGTAACTTTATACACCTATGCCAATAGGCCATTCTTTCCAGTGTTCTGCTTTTATAGCCAAATTTTGGGCATTTCTGGCAGGAAAGAATGGACAAGACATCCATATTTCCACTGTCATCAAGATTTCAACTATTAAAAAAAGGGGGGGAGGCATTTAGAAGCAATCAGCCCTAGGACACGATGGCCCTCAAGACCAGAAGAACTAGATGGTGCCTGGCTACCAGTGCCAACCACTTTGGAAAGGATCAAATCTGGATATCCTGGATAGAGTGGGAGGAAAAACGTGGAACAAAACCCAAAAACTCAATAATGACCAGAATTACTGGTGAGATTAAATCTGGTGAGTCTCCCAATACTATGGCCCTGGAATACATTCTGCACCTGGAATAAAACTCACCCTCAGGGGTGGGCTCTCAGCCCAATAACTGACAAGATGTATACACAGACCACTCAACCCAGGATGACACACCCACACACTCAATAGTAATACATCCCTTAGAGCAATAGACTATGGGACACCAAGAGGACCAACATGCAAGCTAAGGAAATGAAGGACAAACAGGAGTGCATGAATATGAGGGGCACAAGGGGAGGTTTACAGGATAGGGAGGGGAAGAGTCTAGGTTAGGGTTGGACATGGCGAGTGGGGAATGAAACCAAATGTACACCTTATGTTGAATGTTAAACAACCTCTTAAAATAAAGATTAAAAAAATAAGAAGCCATCTTGGTGCCTCAATCATAGCTGGCCTTATGACATCACAGGTTCTTCCCCTCCTCCACTCTTCCTGCTGAAGCCACGGCAGACGGAGAGCAGACCTGAGAGCAATGGAGCCATATTACTCCTAACCATGGGCAATTTAGGGGATTACAGACCTAAAGGGCTTTGAATCATCTACCCCCAAGTCATGGGAATTCGCTGTTGTGTAAGAGACATCCAATCCACCCAAAGTTGCAGGAAAAGTAGGGCAGATTTCCATGGTTAACTCAGGATGCAAGCCCTAGCATCTCTGGGCAAGCCAGGAAGCTGAGCATATGGGGAACTTCACACTGGGTTGTACAGAGAACAACCTCACCCACACCTTTTCCCCCTAAACTCTGATTATAGAAGGATGGTCAGCTCATTGAAATCGTAATTGAAGATGTTAATGAAACCACCATGATGTTACAAAAACAGAAGGAGGAAAAAGAAGAGCCTCCACCACCACCACCACCACCACCACCACCACCTCCACCTCCACCTCCACCTCCACCTCCACCTCCACCTCCTCGACCAAAGGTGGGTCAATGGATGTCCTCAAGGTTGGGAGGGAACCCTGAATTGTGACATCTCTGACTCAGGTCATCACCACTGTTGGGTTGTATTCTCTGTGGCCCATAACATGGGGTGATCATGGAATTTATCATCCAAGGCAGGATACATTGGTGAGTGAAAGATGGTGCCATTAATTATTAGGAACACTAATTATAAACTGAGAATATCCCAGCCAACCAAGACAAATGGTTTTTCTATCCAGAGCTGGAAAAACTCAAGATCGACACATCATTGACTATCCTCTTCCATTTACTTCTCAGTCTGAGTAATGAAGAGTTGGTGGTAGGGAGGAGAAACACTAAAAAGTGGGAGCCAGACCATGCAAGGTTGGAGCTGAGCGGTGAGGGCTGTGTTTGGAGAATGCATGGCCAAGAAGAGGGAAACTCAAGCTTAGAATTGTGTGTTAATGTGTGTGTGTGTGCATATGTGTATGCGTGTGTATATTAACTGAAGTTAAAGATGTGAGAATCAAAACAGGTGAAAGTGGAAAGTAGATGATAAGGACCCCTAGCTGTGTGGAGCAGGGACATGGCAGAGGGAGAGAGCAGGTTGTGGATGTGAGCTGATGTCAGCGATAAGAGGGTAGTGGGAGCAAAGTATCCCATTTCTCCAGCTGTTGGGTGGGGTGTGAAGGGAAAGGATGTGGATCTCAGGCAGGTGGGTAAGGTCAGGAGGAACATGGTAACCTCTCGACCTACAGATTGTGGTTTTCTTGCTCTAGATTGGCCAACTTGACAAATGTAA